ATAAAGGGGCTTGGCTGTTCTCTTTAAAAAAATTATTTTCAGGGGCGCCTGGGTGGCTTAGTCGGTTAAGCGTCCGACTTTCGCTTAGGTCATGATCTCACATTCGTGGGTTCGAGCCCCGCATCGGGCTCTGTGCTGACTGCCAGCTCGGAGCCTGGAGCCTGTTTCAGTCTGTGACTCCCTCTCTCTCTGACCCTCCCCTGCTCACGCTGTCTCTCTCTCTCTCTCCTAGAAATAATAAATTTAAAAAAAAAAAATTTAAAAAAAAAATTATTTTCAAATGGAAGAAACTTACAGATTTTATTTTATTATTTGTTTTTAAGAAGCTTTACAAATGATACAAAATAAAAGAGAATATTTACACCTGCTCCTTCTGAACCTCACTTCTGCTCGCAGGGAAACAGAAATAGGCATTTTCAGGTGAATTTATAGATAGTGTGCATGTGTTTTAACACTACATTTGCCATGTCAAGCACTAGTGCTTGAACTACAAACTCAGTACTCCAAGAGGTTAAGTGGTGCTAGGTCGTGAGCATGCTATGAAGGTGCACACCCAAGTTGCTACATTCCACAGTGTCAGCATTCTTCAGCCACAGAGCGAGGTTAACATTAATTATAAAGCAGGTTCAGGATCTCAAACTCAGTGACATTTCACTACATGATTAGCTTGGCTTCTTACCCGGCACACAGAGCGGAACATAAGACACATCACGCAACGAACAAGAGAACACAGAGGGTAGGAAGTTAATGAACCAAACGGAAGTCAGTCTGTAGACACTCAGTGTGTGGGTCTGGTCCGGGTCAGCTCTCGGCACCTAACGCTCATTATGTTCCAGCAGTGAAGGAGCTCTGTTCTGTTCAGAAACCAGTGGCGCAGAGCCTTTGGCGACAGCTGCCTTTTTTCGAGTGGTCAGACATAGAGGGGTCACTGTCTGAAGAGTCTGACAGTTTGTTGCAAAAATCCTCCCTTTTTAAGGGATTTAATCAGCCTTGAATCCCTGCAGGCCTCCTCTGCTTCTCCTTATCAGTTCTGGGGTGTCGTCAGCTGGTGTTAGGCTTAGCGATATCTGGAAGTTGCAGAACCCTTAACTGCTCGCGTCGTTGCTTGACACACAGGCCCCTGCCTGACATGAGTGACTCCATCTTGCTCTCTACATAGTTACTTCCCCATCCCCATTTGTTGTTTACTAGGTGAGAAACGAGCACAAAAGAATAACCTGCCGATTGCTTCTTGGCCTTTTGGCTAAGATCACATGTAAAGATAATCTGCCAAAGGTTACTCAAAGCAGTGCTTGGATTTGAATTCCTGGGAGCCTCGTTCCAAAACAGACCTTCACGATCACTCCTTTTCCTCTCTGCATGCAGAAGCACACAGGCACACGTGTGTGCACCCACACATATAACCTTACAGAAATGTGTTTCATCCTACATACTAAAAGCTTGTCATGTGCCTTTGAGGCCTTTACATAGATGCATGAAGGGTAGGGAGAAGAGAGTAAGAGATTTGCTAAAACAAGATGGAGCAGCTAGCAGACTACACAGCATCTCAGGGAGTAACAGGCATGAGGAATATTCCTTGCCTGAGAAACTAGATCGCTGATAAACTAAGAAGAGCTTCAGTTCTTACACAGGAGGACTAAGGGTGAAGGCCCGATTGCCTCTGACCTAGTCTTGTAGGATGTGAAAAATAATTCTTAAGAGCAATGAGCTCTGAAGAAGGATCTAATGCATACCAATCAACCCCTTAGTTAGCATATAGCAGGTTGGCTGGCCCAGGCTGGTTGGATTATGCTGTTCGCTACAAAGCATGGCCAGCCTTTCAGGATTCAGGGCCATACTGATGGGATTTCTGGTCATAAATAATTTTTATGCCATGATCTGTGATAGGAAAGGACTCCAATTTTGTATCTCACAGTATTTAAATTAAAGCCATATATTCACTCCACAGTAAAAGAACAAAAAAAGGGGCGTGGGGGAAGGAGCTGCCACCAGCAAAGGCTTAGGAACCATAATAACCCTATCTGGTGAGGATTCTTTAAATCACACCTGTATTTTACTTCCCACCACTCACTACTTCTTGGATCTCTTTAAAGCCAGTGAATTGTATAGCCAATCATCCTTTCCAAATTCAAATTTTATTTTTTTTATTATTTTTTAATTTATTTCTAGGAGAGAGAGAGACAGTGTGAGCAGGGGAGGGTCAGAGAGAGAGGGAGTCACAGACTGAAACAGGCTCCAGGCTCTGAGCTGGCAGTCAGCACAGAGCCCGACGCGGGGCTCGAACCCACGAACCGCGAGATCATGACCTAAGCGAAAGTCGGACGCTTAACCAACTAAGCCACCCAGGAGCCCCTCAAATTCAAATTTTATCATCTCATGTTAAGTGTTTAAAATGCTTTCCCGCAGGGGCACCTGGCTGGGTCAGTGGGTAGACCATGTGATGTGACCCTTGATCTTTGGGTCCTGAGTTCAGGCCCCACATTGTGTATATTACTTAAAAAAACAAAACCAAAGAACTTCACTGGCGTTTCTTTGCACTTGATAAAGAGTAAAATCCTCAAATTTGGCTGAAAAGTACTGCAGCAGCAACTCTGGCCCATCTTACCGGCTTCACAAAAGCCATTTCCCATCTTTTCTACATCGTACACCTCCCTGCTTCCCCTTGAGAATCATGCCAAGGGTACATGATTCTTCATTTACCAAGTTCTTTAGAGTTAAGAGTCTCCTCATTGGCTCTTCCTTCACCCTTGAAGACTTTTACGGTGAAGACTTATCTTGAAGACTTGTCCAATGAACTTCATTCATTCCTCAAATTTTACCTTAAATCTCACTTCCTCAGGAGAGACCTTTGGTAAGCCTGAGGTGGGACCTGATTCTACAGGGTGGGACAGACCCACCCACTCACCCACTGAGATGCAAATTGACCCATTAAGGTGACTTTTTCTCTCTCCTTTCAAGGCTTACTACCTCTTCACCTACCATCCTAGACCAAGTGAACGGGGTCCATAGGAGCAGAATTCTCCGTTCCCTTAGGGTCCGAGAGGAGGAAGGCGTGGTGGTAAAGCTTTTAAAACCAACCTTCAACCTTACTTTGATCCTCAAGTTGCTCATAAGAATACAAAAAGCAAGAATATGTAAAAGGTTGCCACTGGCAATCAAAAGATCCGTTGATGACAATGGCTTGATTACTGAAGGAAACGCCCTTCTGCTCAAGATCACTCCCCCCTCTCCGTGTCAGTTCTGGGGCGTTGAACTTGCGCAGGCCATTACCGACCCACTTCCGGAAGGACAGCCAATCGCTGCAGGGGCTAAGGGTGCGCCTCTGGCAGGAACCCGCCCTTGCCGGCTGTTTGGGGTTTCGGGATTCTTCTGCGTCAGGCTCTGGGGCCACAGCCATCTCCCGCCACGGAAGGGCCGAGCCGTCGGTTCCAGGTAAGCTGGGTGGGCTGTCGTGAGGCTCAGCTGAGCAGGAGCTCCCTCAGCATCTTCGGGGCGCCGCACATCGGGGCCGCAGCTCCTGCAAGACTGGGTCTCCTCAAATTTGGCGAGGTCTTGTGAAAACCACGGCTTCCTGCTCTCAGACCTGTGGAATCAGAATAAGAGTGGTGGGCCTGCTTTCAGTAAATCTTCAAGCAGCTTTTGATGTGAACGAGAATTGAGGAGTTGCTAGGTTATCTCCAAAGAATTACTGCCCATGTTTGGTGGAAGAGAGGATGGAGGAGAGGTGGGAAGGTACGAGAATGGAGCGGTAGCCATCGTTTGAGAACCCACTGCTTTGCATCGCCTACACCTTCTGGCCAATTGAAGCATCCATTAACCTTCACAAGCATCTTACAGTTAAGAATTATCATTACAGATTTGCAGATGAGCCAGCTTAGTCTCAGGCAGGGAAGAATCATTCAGTGTGGGGGTGACTCGGTCGGTTGAGCGTCTGACTTCTTCCGCACTGGTCATGATCTTGGGACTGGTGAGTTTGAGCCCCGCATCTGGCTCATTGCCGTAAGCCTGGCAGCGCAGAGCCTGCTTTGGATGGTCTGTCCCCCGATCTCCCCTCCCCGGCTTGTGCTCTCCAAATAAATATTAGAAAAAAAAAATTCAGTATGGGGTAGGAATCTACTAACAGGTTCCATTTATTCATTAAATACTTTTTGAGCCCCCATTGTATGCCCAAGGACTTCCATAAGCTGGAGACGCATTCCCACCAAGAAGCTTACAGTCTGGCAAAGGAGTTGGACACATTACTTAAGGAATTGCAAAAACAACTGCAGAATCGAATCACAACTATGAGGTATGATTCGATGAGGAGCGAGGTGGAGAGGCTAGGACCAGATCTTGGTGGGATTTTGAAACTTTTCTTTTCCTGAAAGCAGTGGTTCACAAACTATGGTCCGTAGGCCAGCAACATCACCAGGGAACTGAGAAGTACAGCACACCCACTGAATCACAAACTGGGAATTTGGCCCAGCAGTCTTTTACCAAGGTGTATAGGTAATCACGATGCAGTCTAAGGTTTGAGAGCTGCTTTCTTAAAGTAATAAAGGACTAGTGGAGTGTTTTTAAGTGGTAAATAAAAGGATTCTACTTGTGTTTGAAAAGATCAATTTAGCTACAGAATTAAGGAATTGATTGGAGGTGCCATGATGTTTTGGGGTAGGAAAAGGGCTCATACTGTAATGGGGGGAGAGAAGTGGGTAGATGAATCAAGGTGGTAGCAGTGAATACAAAACTGGTTGTTAACTTTACAGTCTGTTAATGGCTTTATTCTGAAAAGTAGAAAGGCCTGATCTGTGTATGCACTTTGGAAAAGTGGGGCACAATGGTTCCTTGCACTGTGCTTTTTTTTTTTTTAATGTTTATTTTTGAGAGAGAAATGCAGAGCTTGAGGGAAGGAGCAGAGAGAAAGGGAGACACAGAATCCGAAGCAGGCTCCAGGCTCTGAGCTGTTGTCAGCACAGAGCCTGACGCGGGACTCCAACCCACAGACCGTGAAATCCTGACCTGAGCCGAAATCTGACACTTCTCCGACGGCGCCCTGGCGCCCCCTGAGTCCTTTCCTTCTACACACTTTCTTAAAGGTATTCCAAGCATTTTTTTGATCTTAGTTCGCCCATTATGCTTTGCAGTTTACTTTTATGTTGGGCAAGAGTCTTAAAACTCTCTTTAGGCCCTCAGTTTTCTAATCTGTGATCCTTCTGTGCAAACTTACCCCCAAAGCTATGCACTCATCTTTCTTAGCGTACTCAAAAGTACCCATTTTGAAAGTATTAAGCAAGAATTGGAAGTCACTGAAGCCTTAGTAGCTATAATAACATCTAGTGTCAGCAGGTAGGGAGAGTGGCTTGGAAGAGACCTTATGTAGTTCTGTGTTGTTGAAATTTATTACAAGCTGAATGTATTTTAATAAAATCAAAGGTGGTATTTGAAAATTCTGAAACTCCTTTCCTGCACCTCCAATGTTAATGTAAGAAAATTTCCTACATCACGTTATTACTGTAAGCCTGGTAGAAGTTAATGCCTTTACCAGTCACTGGGGACTTAGCAACCATACAAGACATAGCAACTTTTAGGTTAAATATCAGTACTTTTTATATGTTAAGTGTACACACACACACACACACACGCCTCAGAGATGTTGTGGGATCATTTCCAGACCACTGCAGTAAAGTAAGTCAAATGAATTTTGTTTCTCAGTGCATATAAAAAGTTAATGTTTGCGCTATACTGTGGTCTATTAAGTGTGCAATAGCCTTTGTCTAAATAAATAATCAATGCACATACTTTAATTAAAAAATAACTTATTGCTAAAAATGCTATCCATCTGAGTTTTCACTGCATTGTTAATCTTTTTTGCTGGTGGAGGATCTTGCTTCTATTGATGGCTGCTGACTGCTCAGAGTGGTGGCTGCAGCAGTTTCTTAAAATGAGACCATGAAGATCACTACTTCTATTGACTCTTTCTTTCATGAATAATTTCTCAGCTGCCAACTATGCTGTTTGATAGCATGTTAGCCACAGTAGAACCTCTTTCACAATTGGGAGTCTGTTCTCATAAATCTTGCTGCTCCTTCATCATCTGAGTTTTTGTAATCTAAATCCTTTTTTTATTATTTTTTATTTTTTAAAATTTATTTCTGAGAGAGACAGTGTGAACAGGGGAGGGTCAGAGAGAGAGAGGGAGACACAGAATCTGAAGCAGGCTCTGAGCTGGCAGTCAGCACAGACCATGATGCGGGGCTCGAACCCACGAACCAGGAAATCATGACCTGAGCCGAAGTTGGACGCTTAACCGACTGAGCCACCCAGGCGCCCCCTAAATCCTTGTTGTCACCTCAACAAACTTCACAACATCTTTTTTTAAAAAAATTTTATTCTTTTTTTTTTTTTTTTTTTAACATTTACTTATTTTTGAGAGAGCATGAGCAGGGGAGGGTCAGACAGAAGAGGCGGAACAGAATCCGAAGCCGGTTCCAGGCTCTGAGCTGTCAACACAGAGCCCGATATAGGGCTTGAACTCACAAGCTGAGATCATGACCTTAATGTTTATTTTTGAGAGAGACAGCATGAGCATGAGCAAGGGAGGGCCAGAGAGAGACACACACAGAAGCAGGGCTTAACTCAGGAACTGTGACATCATGACCTGAGCCACCCAGGTGCCCCTAAACTTCTTCACTTCTTTACCAGGAGTACATTCCATCTCAAGAAACCACACTTTTGCGGCGCCTGGGTGGCTCAGTCGGTTAAGCGTCCAACTTTGGCTCAGGTCATGATCACACGGTTCGTGGGTTCAAGCCCCGCATCAGGCTCTCTGCTGACAGTAGCTCACAGCCTGGAGCCTGTTTCAGAATCTGTGTCTTCCTCTTTCTCTGACTTTCCCCTGCTCACGTGGTCTCTCTCTCTCTCTCATCTCTCTCAGAAGTAAATAAATATTTTTTAAAAAATAAAAAAAAAAGGAAAGAAACCACACTTTTGTCCCCATATATAAGCAGCAGTTAACTCTTCATCCATTCATGAGATTCCAGCATTTCTGTCTCATCTTCAGGCTCCACTTCTAACTCTAGTTCTTTTGCTATTCCCACCACGTCTGCAGTTATTTCCTTCACTGAAGCCTTAAACCTACAATTTGTTTAAAGAAGAGAAAAAGGCAACTCAGTATCTGCAAAGTACGGCATGTGAAGCACGGGAAAACAAGGTATGGCTGTATATAAAAGTATGTGACTTCAGAAAGATTTCTAAGAGCTTTTGAAATTTTATGAGATAGTGTTATAATACTTTTTATCATACCTGTATGTGTTAAATGGCAGGCACTGTAACATGTGCCTTAACTTTTCTTGTTTAATAATTGCAATATGAGATGGTATTATTCTCCCTTTGTGAAAAGAAAAGTGAAGCTTAGAGAAATTAACTTGACCAAGGACTTGTAACTAGTTAAGTGGCAGTATTGGATGAAAACCCAGTTCTGTCAGATACTGCTGCCTCTCGATTTGTTACATGTTTTTGTCTTAAGGTGCTGGAATCAGTAAACTTCTGTTTTTCCCCTTAAAATTTTTTGGAATAGGGGTGCCTGAGTGGCTCAGTTGGTTAAGCATCTATGACTCAGGTCATTATTTCATGGTTCGTGGGTTCAAATCCCGCTTCAGGCTCTGTGCTGACAGGCTCAGAACCTGGCATCTGCTTCCGATTGTTGTCTCCCTCTCTCTCTGCCCCTCCCATACTCTCTCTCAAAAATAAACATTAAAATTTTTTTTTTTAATTTTGGAATATGTTATCAAATTTGGGAAAATGTGAATATATCAACTATGAAAAATATAAGGTGGTTTCAGTTAGATGTAGAGGGACGCATAGGATGCCACGGGAGTATGAAGAAGGGACAGTACAGCTTAGTGAGTCTCATGCCAATTAATGCAATGTCGTGTGAGTGAACTCAAGTATAATATACTCCTCTTTTACAGCTCTAATTGAGGATGATAGTTCCCTAATTTATAAGGTTGCTTGCGGAGCTTAATTGCAGCAGTGACTACATGAAAGATCCTTAAGTTAGTGGCTGACACATGATAAACTGTCCTAGAGAACGTTTATCTCGGCCTGAGTCTCCCAAAGGAGCAGAACTCAGTCCCAAGGAAAGAAGGGAGGAAAAAGTAATCTAAGCAGCCAGTACCTTGTGCAGGAAGGAGGACATGACATCTGTCTTTAAAAAAAAAACAGCCAACTGCTTTAGGGGACTGCAGCCAGGTGAAGATAAGGTATCAGGGGCTCTGATATCAAGCTAAGGGTGGAGCACTTTGTCCTGTCTTCTGGAGGGTTATTGACAGGTTTAACTGAGAAGAAAGAGTTAATCAGTTTAAAAAGTGAAGGTATGAGGGATGGATTAAATTATATCAAGAAGCAGTAGGGACACCTGGGTGACTCAGTTGCTTAAGCATCTGACTTCAACTCAGGTTATATCTCACAGTGAGTTCAAGCCCCGCGTGCCTCTCTCTCTCTCTGCCCCTCCCCCACTCATGTTCTATCTCTGATAAGTAAATAAACTTAAAAACATTTTAAAAAATGAAGCAGGAAGTTGGTCTGAGTGTTGTGGGTTATCGTTAAGTTGATTAATAAAAAATGAAGCAGGAGGCAAAATGTAGAACTTGGATAGCCCACACGGACTAAAGGTAGAGGCAGAAGACAGTATTCTAGATTGAAAGGTATTTAAGAGTACTAAGAAGCAAATGTATGTGTCATCAGTGTTTGGATCCAAATTCAAATAAATCTAAAATAGAAAGCTGGGCACCTGGCCAGCTCAGTTGGTGGAGCATGTGACTCTTAACCTCCAGGTTAGTTTGAGCTCCATGTGTTGGGTGTAGAGATTACTTAAAAAAAGTAAGTCTTAAAAAAAAAAAAATAGCTTATTTGCCAAGAACAATGGTCGCATTGGCTGCCATTTATGTGAGATCCTTATTTTTAAAAAAGTTATAAACCCCGATTTTTAGGTCAAAGAAACGGATTCTTCAAAAAGTTGCATGGGTTTTCCTAACGTTACACACTAAGTAGCTGAACCAGGATTCAGACCAAATGGCTTTTTAATGTCAGTCCTTACATTGTGAAACATTCTCTTCCGTAGCGCGTTGCTGTAATGGCTTTTGCTTGTGCAGGCTCAAGACGCTGCGTCAGTCCTTGAGATGGGGAATGATTTAGAAAAGGAAGCTTTCTAGAATTATTGCATTTTTCCTATTCTGCTTGTAGGAAGAGTAAGTCTGTGTAGTAAAAGAACTTCCTATGGAACACCTGGGTGGTTCAGTCGGTTAAGCGTCCAACTTCAGCTCAGGTCATGATCTCACGGTTCATGGGTTCGAGCCCCGCATCTGTCTCTGTGCTGAGATCTCAGAGCCCGGAGCCTGATTGGAATTCTGTGCCTCTCTCTCTCTCTGCCCCTCCCCTGCTTGTTCTCTGCCTCTCAGAAAATTTTTAAAAATATTTTTTAAAAATTAAAAAAAAACTTGCTGGTGGGGCGCCTGGGTGGCTTAGTCGGTTAAGCGTCCGACTTTCGCTTAGGTCATGATCTCGCGGTTCGTGGGTTCAAGCCCCGCGTCGGGCTCTACGCTGACTGCCAGCTCAGAGCCTGGAGCCTGTTTCAGTCTGTGACTCCCTCTCTCTCTGACCCTCCCCTGCTCACACTGTCTCTCTCTCTCTCCTAGAAAAAAAAAAAAAAAAAAAAAAAAACTTGCTGGGTCACCAGGACAAGGCTAATTTCAAATGTCAAAACCTTGGCCACAATTACTGTTCTGTCTTTGGGTTATGAGGGAGGGGAGAGGAAGAGCAAAAGTTGAGAAAGTGTTAGTGTGGGGAGAAAGGAGAGGATACTGTATTGATGGTAAAATGGCTCACAAACTTGGAGGAATTTGATTAGTATAAAATTGGGTGTGGTGGGTATCTTGAAAACAAGCCATGAAATTTTCTCCCTAACTTTTTTATTTTGATCATTTCAAACCTATAGAAAACTTGCAAAAGGATGTGCAATATACAAACCTTTTGTCCGGATGCACCAGTTTTTAACCTTTTGTTGTGCATTTAAAATTATTGAACTGTCTCAAAGTACATTGCAGCCATCAAGATGGCCTCCCCCACCCATGTGTCTTTTTTTTTTTAAGCTTATTTATTTTTGAGAGAGGGGGAGAGAATTCCAAGCAAACCCCATACTGTCAGCATGGGACCCAATACAGGGCTCCAACCCAGGAACCGTGAGATCATGAGCTGAGCCAAAGTCAAGAGTCTGATGCTTAACCGAATGAGCCACCCAGGTACCCCTCGTTGTTTTATCTTTTAATTTTGTGATCCCAGATTCAGTCAGGAATTGCACATTATATTTGTTTAGTCTTAAATCTGAAACTTTTTTGTGTCTGTTCTTGTCATTTACATTTTGGAGAATACATACTGATTAATTGTCTTGTACAATGCTCCACAATTTAAGTCAGACTATTTGTTTTCTCATGATTCGATTGAGATGGAGTATTTTTTGCAAGGATATTTTATAGGCTTTATTGTTGTTTTCGAAATGTAGGAAATGAATGAATCTCTCTGAACTATGGATTCCTATTTTTCCCAAAACCTCCACCTAATAATTTTAGTATTTATTAATGAGTCTTGTGTGAATGTTTTCATACGTTGGTGAATGTGGTTTCAATATTTTTAACTTTCATGTCTTCTCACCCATAGGAAAGATTCCTAGTCTTGGACCTAAAGCTACTTTCTTCAACAGGAACGTCGTTAAGCCTGACTTTACATCATTGAGTGGGAAGAACAGCAGCCCAGCTAATCCATTCTAGTATGCGGTAGACTGCAGCCTGTGGGGTGTTCTTGGCAACAGACTCTAAAGCTAAGGGGAGGGGGGCCGACACGTTTATGCAGGCTATCAACACGCCAGTCCAGTGAAACCGAAAGCTGGGCAGTTTTCAAGGTCTGTGGGAGGGTATCCACTGCTCGCTGGGTCCTGAGTGTTCCTAAAGGACTTAGTACCGTACCCGCCACCATTGTTCACGGCTCCATGGAGTTTGTGGCAGCCCTAGAAGACCTCCAAACAGGGGCCAGCTGTCCCATCTGTCTGGACTACTTGAAAGACCCTGTGACCATCAACTGTGGGCACAACTTCTGTCTCTCTTGCATCAGTATGTCCTGGAAGGGTCTGAATGATACTTTCCCCTGCCCCTTTTGCCGGCATTGCTGTCCAGAAAGGAAGTTCACAAGCAACCCCCAGCTGAGCAACTTGATTGAAATTGCTAAGCTACTGCAGGTAAGAAGAAGCAAGAGGAAGAGGAAAGAAGAGAAGCTTGTATGTGAAAAGCATAATCAGGTTTTGACCTTTTTCTGTCAGAAGGACCTGGAAGTTTTATGTCCACAGTGTAGTTTCTCCACTGATCACCGGAATCACTACATTTGGCCCATAGAGAAGGCTGCTCCCCATCATAGGAGAAGATTGGAGAATTGCATTGAGCCATGGAAGGAGAGAATAGAACAAGTTGAAAAGGTGATAATAATGCAAACCAGAAAATCATTGGAACTGAAGAAGAAGGTAGACTACAGGAGGGAAGAAATAAAGTCTGAATTTGAGCAACTTTTGTTGTTTCTCAAAAATGAGCAAGAAGCTGTTCTTCGGCAATTGCAAGATGAAGAAGTGGACATTTTAACGAAACTAAATGAAAACCTAACAACATTTTCAAATCATCTTTCCACATTAAGATATCTATTAAAGGAGATTGAGAGCAAACATATGAGGTCAGAGTTGGAATTGCTAACAGATGTTAAAAGTATCTACCATAGATATAAAACCTTGAAGTCCCCTGAACCGTTTTCATTCCAGTTAAGGGAATATGGTTACCATCTTCCCCCACAATATTCTGGCCTAAATAAAATTATCAAGCAATTTCAAGTAGACTTAAAGCTAGATCCTGAAACAGCACATCGTAAGCTTATTATCTCGGAAGATAGAAAAACTGTGCAATATGGAAATAAAATACATAGCTTACCTCATAACCAAAGGAGGTTTTATCTCTGCCCTGCTGTTCTGGGTTCTGGGGGTTATAATTCTGGCAGGCAGTATTGGGAGGTGGAAGTGAAAGACAAGCCTGAGTGGATCGTTGGTGTCTGCAAAGACTCTCTTCCCAGACGGAGAAGGAACCAGAGTCAACCAATTTTAGTGCAAGATGGATTATGGGGTGTTGGGCGATGTAGTCAGAATAATTACATTGCATTGGGTCCTAAAAAAATTAATCTTCTGCCAAAAGTAATACCCAAAAAGATTGGCATTTTTTTAGACTGTGAATTGTGTGAGATCTCTTTTTACAACTTGAGTGATAGGTCTCTTCTCTATATTTTTAACTATTATTTTACAGAAACGCTTTGGCCTTATTTCTATACTGGAACTGACTCAAAACCTCTTAAAATCTGTACAATAACAGATTCTGAATGGTGATTTATTGTAAAACTCTTAACTTTTTTGTTGTTGGGGTGGTGGACAGAACTAAGCCAATGCATCTATTTTAAACAATTTTGTTGGTTTTTGTTGTTGGCGTCTTGTTTAAAGTCCAATAAATTTCTTTGTGTTGCCTAGGTGTTTTCCCTTAAAATGTATATAAGGCCTTTATTAAATAAAGTATCCATTACCATTCTAGGACCATGTGATCTATAAAGGTAGCCACTTTGAACTTTCACCTGTTTATCTCAATATTTCTTTGTAACATGTTTTGTTTTTTGTGTTTGTTAGTCTTGACTTAGTACTAAGGAAAATGAGGTAATGCCCCCACCATGTACATACCCCATATACTTATTAAATGACATATACACACAACAAATCATTGTCCCTCTGTTTCCATTTGGACAGTGTACCCTGTAGCTGTGTTCAACTACCATCCTTCATTTGGGGAACTGACCTCTTTTCTCAGAATCCTTTTTATTCTATGCTTTCTTTCTTAGGCTTTTTCTAGTCTGGAAATTACGTCTTTCAGTAGATAACATATGTAAAATTTAGAGCTTGTATCAAAAAAATACTGCTGAGCCTTTGGGTTTGTATTGAATCTAGATCACATTGGATAAAATTCGCATCTTGACAATATTGAGGCTTCTAATCCATGAACTAATTTATTTGACTCATCTCTGCAATGTTTGTAGTTTTAAGCATACATGACTCTTAACATTTTTTGTCAGATTTGTTCATAAGTAGAGTCTATTGGGTTTTCTACTAAGATGATTTTGTCATCTTCAAAGAAAAACATTTATTTCTTCTTTGACACTCTAGGTTGTTTTCCTTTTTCTTGCCTGATTACACTAAGTAAGACCTCTAGCACAATGGTAATTTCTTAACATTTCATGATTGGTATTACCCATCATTTTACTGCTCATATTTCCTTGATTTTTATACTTTTTTTAACCTAGCTTTGATACCTCCTAGTATTTACATAAAATAGTTTCCATTCAGTATCAAATAGCAAAAATGCTGTCAATTCAGTATTATCTGATCCTTTCCCCACTGATATTTAGGTCATACTTTTTGCAAATAATTTAGTTTACATAGATAGTTTTAACAAAATAGACAATAGAGCATAATGAAAAATCACTCATGTATGCATGACCCAATTTAGTAGAACATTGGCATCACCTGTGAGGTTTCCTTTTGTGTTTCTCAACCTCAGCCTCCACTTCTGGTCCTATCTAGTTCCCTCCACTAATAGTTTGACATTCCGTTTTCTTGAACTTTTGCTGCGTATGTTTGTATCCCTAAACAATATGTTTAGTTCCACATGTTTTTTTTTTTTTGAGTTAACATAGTTAATTATAACATGGTTAACATACAGTGTTACGTTAGCTTCAGGTATGTGATATAGTGCTTCGATAATTCCATACATTACGCTGTTCATAAGTGTATTCTTTGGTTCCAAGATGTTTTTGAATTTTACATAAAGTTGATTGATCATGTTGAATTTCTTTCATTCACCATTATGTTCATGAGATTCTTATTTTTGCTTAAAAGTTGAACTTCATTCTACTGATGGATATTCAGTTTGAAACTTGCGCAAACAGCTGCTATGGAAAATAATTTGGTATTATCCAATAAAGATGAAGGTTTAGGAATTCACTCCCCAGAGAAACCAGATGCATAATTCACTTTGGAAAATAATTTGACATCATCCAGTAAGGATGAAGATTTAGCAATTTCCTCCCCAGAGAAACCAGGTGCATAATTTCCAAAGTGCTGTGCCAATTTATACTCCCACTACAGTGTATAAATGTTTTCATTGCTCTGCTTCAATAGTACTAGATTTAACTTAATCATTGTAAATGTTAAGTATTTCCAATTTTAATAATTTCTAATAATAGAGTATATTTTTATAGTTTGATAATCATTTCTGTCTCCTATAAAATACCTGGCTACCCCTCTACTTCTATTTTTGTATGAGTCTGTCATTAATTTTTAAGAATTCCTCATATTTCCTGGATTTTAGTCCTGTAGCAATTCTATTCATTGGAAGTATCTTCTCCAAAGTTTATCTCACTCTTACTATGGTGCCTTGAACAGAAGTAAGTTTGATATATTTGATTTTATCACTTTCCTTTTGAGGTTTGGATTCTTTAAGAAATACTCTATTCCAGGAGGTAAACCATAAGAGACTCTTAAATACAGAGAACAAACTTGCTGGAGGGTTGGGGGGATGAGCTAAATGGGTGATGGCCATTAAGGAGGCAGTTGGGATGAACATTGGGTGTCATGTAAGATGAATCACTGGGTAATACTCCTGAAGCCAAGACCACACTGTATCTTAAATAACTTGAATATAAATTAAAAGAAATTTTAAAAATGTTTCTACTCCAGAAACATTAAAATATTCTATATGTGCTTCTAATCATCCACTTAGAAGTTGATTCTGTGTTTGGGAATAGGATGGGGCTTACCTGTATATTTAGTTGTACATAATGTATGAATGACCAATGGTCACACCACCATTTATTGGAAGGTCTATCATTTCCCTGTCGATTTGCAATGCGACCTGTATCTGACATCTATTATGATCTACTGGTCTATTGGCCTATCCTTGGGTCAATACTATACTCAAATCTTACAGCTCTCTCATTCTTGGTATCTTGTGACAATTTTCATCATCTCTTCAGGCTTACCTTGACAACTCTTGGCCTCTTTCATAAATTTTAGAGTTAGCTTGCTAAATTAAACATAACTTGGAAATTTTATTTGAAATCGCATTGAAACTGTAAATAAAGTTGGAGAAAACTGATACCTTTATTGAACTGCCCAATCCGTGTATTCCTTGACATTAATTTACGTCTTTAAAAGTTATACACTACCACCAGTGGGGTGCCTTAGGTAAAACTAAACATTCTAACTCACATGACTTCCATAGGGCACACTTGACATCAAGATTACTCAGAAGAATAATGAATGTTAATAAGCAGCTTTGCAGCAAATAGCTTCATTAATTTCCATGGGAACTCTCACTGTAGTCCACAAAGCTGCACTTTTGGGTTCCCTGTGAGATGGTTCAGGTAGGAGTAAATGAGACATTGACCAAATGAGGGACCTGCACTGATTTAAAAGCTTCATGTCCCAGGAGGCCACTAAAATTTCTAAGTTACCTGATGTGAATGGGATTCATGGACTGGAAGAGACCTGAAATATCACTTAAGAGTTGATAAGTGGTCTCTGGAGGAAGCACCTGTACTAGATACAGGGAAAGGGTTCTGAAGTTGTTTGAACTTGATAGGTTTGGGAAACAGTTTCCTTATCTTTAAAACTGAAAAATAATCTAGTTTATAGGATTAATCAAAGACAATGCTCCTAGCGGGCCTACTGCAATAACACCAAGACTACAGGCTTAGTCTCCCCTTCCTCATAACAATTAAACTCCGTGCTAAGCATTTTGTACGTTAAGAATAGCTCGTGTAGGGGAGCCTGGGTGGCTCAGTCGGTTAAGTATCTGACTCAGTTTTGGCTCAGGTCATGATCTCACTGTACGTTTGAGCCCTGTGTCAGGCTCTGTGCTGACAGCACAGAAACTGCTTGGGGTTCTCTCTCTCTCTCTCTCTCTCTCTCTCTCCCCCCCCCCACTCGCTCTCTTTCTTTCAAAAACAAGTAAACAAAATGAATAGCTCATCTTATTTCCTCTAGGGAGAGGGTTTTAAAGCAGATATTTTCAAATACAATTTTTGTTTTTTTGTTTTTTAGTTAATTTTGAGAGAGAGAGCGCGCGCAGGCATGTGTGCAAGCAAAGGAGGGACCGAGGCGGGGGTGGCGGGGGGGAGAGTGTTCCAAGCAAGTTCCACTCTGTCAGTGCAGAGCCCAATGTGGGGCTCAATCTCACTAACTGTGAGATCATGACCTGAGCTGAAATCAAAAGTTGGATGCTTAACAGACTGAGCCACCCAGGTGCCCCTAAATCTAGTTTCAATTATTCATTGTTTACAAAATTGCTTTACAACCATTGTTGCCAGCTTCTCAGAGGCAATCACTCTCAAGTCTTGTTCTTTGGGTGCTTTATACTCACTAGATCACAAGCTAACAGTAATTCTTATGGATTTTTCCATTTTTGGTAGTTTCATTTAATGTCCTACTTTGGAAGATGAGAATTTAGAGCAATTTTCACTCTATGGTCCTAATAGAATTTTTCATTTTCCTATAGAACGTTTTCTGATGTTTATGGTACTTCGGCTATGTCACTACCTTATGCAATGATTGCATTTTGTTTTTCCACAACTTTGCTTTCCAATAGCTAACAGTTGTTTTATATTTCTCATTTCTTTAGTTTCCCATGTCCTTATCCTTGGTTCATACCACAACTGTCCCTACAGTTGTCTAAAATTTTCAATTTAAACATATTTAGTTTCCTATCACTTTGATCTTGCCAACTACTGTCAAGGAGCCCCATCACCTGTTCCAAGGCAGGCAGGTCCACGAAGCCAACTGCTCATTCAGCATCTTGGGGACGCCCTTGGCATCTCTTGAGTTGCTGTTTCTGTTTCTGTATGATTTTCCACTAGGAGTTTGGTTTCTTGCTTCATTGGAGAGGTCCTTCAACAGTGTCCTAATAGTGGTTCATGGGAAATAAGTTTTTTGAGACATTCAAGTCTGAAAGTATCTTCAGTCTATCCTGATATTTCACCAAAAGTTTCACAGTGTCTAATTTTAAAATAACTTACCATTACATACTTTTTGCATTTTTTTGTTGTGAAATATATTGTTATCATGTATGAAATATGTTTTAAAATACACCAGCAGGAACAATGTTTCTGTATAAGCATGTTTTTTTTTTTTTTTTTTTTAATCAATACTATGTACAGAATTAGCCAGTTTTCCTAATCAGGAGTTCACATCCAGGGATGGTCAGTTGGCAATCTAATAGGAAACTCAAACTCCAAATGCTACAACATTGCTTCAGTTCTCTTTTTTTTTAACTATTTTTTAATTTTATTTTTTGAGAGACAGAGAGAGACAGAACACAAGCAGGGGAGGGGCAGAGAGAGAGGGATACACAGAATCCAAAGCAGGCTCCAGGCTCAGAACTGTCAGCACAGAGCCTGATGTGGGGATTGAATCCACAAATGTGAGGTCGTGACCTGAGCCGAAGTCAGCACTCAACCAACTGAGTCACCCAGGCGCCCCAGCTT